GTATTAAGGGGTCACGACATTAGGAAGGTTGGGAACCATTGGACTAGATGGTCATGCGCTCTGTTCAATCTCCAAGATTCGATCATTCTAAACCTCTCACCCTTCTCTAAACTCAACATTTCTAGATTTCTTAGCTTGCTCCTTATAAGGTTTGATTCCCATACCTTTGATTGTCTTGGTTGCTCTTCTTTAGATATATACCAGCTTGTGAATAATTTTCCAGATGAGTGCATCTTACAGCTTCCTTTATGACCCCTTTCCCTGTTTCTCTCCTTCCTTCTTGGGTGTCTTTGCAGGCAGGCGGATCTGCACAGGACAAGGCCTGGCCCGCATGGAGCTCTTCCTGTTCTTCACCTCCATCCTCCAGAACTTCAAGCTGAAACCCATCACAGACCCCAAGGACATTGATATCACACCTGTGGTGAAACCCATAGGCAGATTCCCCCGACCCTATAAGTTCTGTGTTATCCCTCGCTGAAAATCTCCTTCCTGGGGAAAGTCAAGGATGACTGCACAAACTCAGCTTTTGCTTTTTTGTTGAGGAACTATCCTAGACCTTCTTTGTGAGGCAACAATACTAGAGATTAGGGCTGGGCAACCACGGAAAAATTTGTTTCTAAAATCGATTCGTTTTTTGGGGGGTTTTGCGTTTCAATTTTTAAAAGAATTCCGAAATTTTTCTTTTAAAAAGTTTGATATTTACGAAATTTCGTAAATTACAAAACAATACGAAACAATTGCGAAACAATTACGAATCGATTCGTTAATGGCGGACGCGACCGCGCAATACGCTAAAAAACCTCCAAGTGGGTCAGGGGGAACTTCTGAAGCTTCCCTCTCCCTCTGTTGTTGACTGTTGGTGTGATATTTATAATTTTTTTTCACTGATTAAACAAACAACAACTATAAAACTTGCCCCAGACATGCGGAAATAATAACGAAACGATTTCAAAACGATAACGAAACGAATACAAAACGAATTCGAAACAATTACGAAACGAATTGAAAAATTCGTTTCGTTTTTTAGTTGCTCCTGAATGGTTCGTTATCGCTTCGTTATCAAAAAACAAAAATAACGAATTTTTAACGAATTATGAAATTACGAAACGAAACCGCCCAGCCCTACTAGAGATGTCTGAAAGCCATTCCAGCCTTCAGCAAAAACATGATTTTGTATTATAGTGTTGAGATTAACTTCTCAATTCAGCAGCAGATCAGTTGCACAACCTCAGCACTTTCCAGTAGCTTCTTCCTGCACAGTATTTTCAGTCAACTCCCACAGCCTGCAGCCACGCTGGAACCTTTTACAGACACTTGAGCACATGCCCGGCCATTGTCAGTTTTACCAGTCTAGATGATATTACAAACTTATCACAGCATGCAGCCATATCTTGTCTTAGCAGACAGGTTCTTTTATTCAATTACATTTTGGCTTCGACGAACAACATCACAGCACAAGGAGAAATATACACTGTACACAACTTCCTTATATACAATTAATTTACACATAGCAATCACTGATTGGTTCCCAACTCATTGACTTAACTCAGACCCAGGATTACATCATTCACAATCACCTGGACTAGGCCAGAACACATTCCCCAAATGAAGTTCCTATATACAGTTAATGCATGACTCAGCATTCCCAATAGAAGCCCATTAGCAGTGCATGACTCAGCTATATTACATTGCAATACGTTGTAAAACCTGACATATAGCCACAAGGGTCTAAGTGGGGTCTTTGCAATCTGTAGACGGGTTTAATTTTTTAAATATTCTTTCAGTCTGCTTATTCTATATTTATATGGTTTTCAAATATATTGCCCTACTTTTCGGGGAAGGCCTGTTGCGGTGGGGGGAGCCCCTCCCTATGGCCATGTTGGAAGCAGGGGCTTCTACTTCTCAGAAGCCCCTGCATAGTGGGAAGTTTCCCGCCACACAGTCAGCTGGCCAATCTGTGGCCGGCCCCACCCAGCACCTGGCATTGGCGCAGGGGCCAACAGGCAACAGCTCTTCGTGCGCGGGTGTCTGGGAATCAGGCGTTTTATTGGTTTCAGGCAACAGGGTTGGCAGCACGGGGCATGGTGGTCCACCCACCCCTCTTTTTGTGGCATTTGGCATGGGCCCTGGATCTGGTTCTGCCCCTGCCCTTCATCAAGTTTGCAGACGACACCAAATTGGGAGGGAGAGCCAAAACTCCAGAGGACAGGAGCAGAATTCAAAACGATCTTGACAGATTAGAGAGATGGGCCAAAACTAACAAAATGAAGTTCAACAGTGACAAATGCAAGATACTCCACTTTGGCAGGAAAAACGAAATGCAAAGATACAAAATGGGGGATGCCTGGCTTGAGAGCAGTACGTGTGAAAAAGATCTTGGAGTCCTCGTGGACAACAAGTTAAACATGAGCCAACAATATGATGTGGCGGCAAAAAAAGCCAATGGGATTTTGGCCTGCATCAAGAGGAGCATAGTGTCTAGATCTAGGGAAGTAATGCTCCCCATGCTCTATTCCGCTTTGGTTAGACACACCTGGAATATTGTGTCCAATTCTGGGCACCACAATTCAAGAGAGATATTGACAAGCTGTAATGTGTCCAGAGGAGGGCGACTAAAATGATCAAGGGTCTGGAGAACAAGCCCTATGAGGAGCGGCTTAGGGAACTGGGCATGTTTAGCCTGAAGAAGAGAAGGCTGAGAGGAGATATGATAGCCATGTATAAATATGTGAGAGGAAGCCACAGGGAGGAGGAGGGAGCACGCTTGTTTTCTGCTTCCTTGGAGACTAGGACGCGGAACAATGGCTTCAAACTACAAGAGAGGAGATTCCATCTGAACATGAGGAAGAACTTCCTGACTGTGAGAGCCGTTCAGCAGTGGAACTCTCTGCCCCGGAGTGTGGTGGAGGCTCCTTCTTTGGAAGCTTTTAAACAGAGGCTGGATGGACATCTGTCAGGGGTGATTTGAATGCAATATTCCTGCTTCTTGGCAGGGGGTTGGACTGGATGGCCCATGAGGTCTCTTCCAACTCTTTGATTCTATGATTCTATGATTCTATATATGTGTCTGTGTCATCTCTGGTTCTGTGGGCAGGATAAGTGTCGCCCATCCACACGCAACTGATTTTGCATGCTGATATTCCAGATGAACACAGCTATATCTTTGTATCCCACCATCTAGACTTATCATTTCTGTTTTTAATGCTGCTAATCAAACCCATTTTTGAGTCCTGTCAGGACTTTTCTATGATTGTGTGCACAAATGTGTGTGTAGTGAATGCGAAGGAGCCTTATGGCAGGAATGTATCATCAGGAAACAATAAATGTTCATTGCCTCCAAGTTGTGGGCCTTCTCTATCACCACGTTACAGGAAATGAGTGTGATTTTTGATCCTGGCTACAATTGGCAAACACAGGGATACTTTCCAGTTTTGACAAGAAGATTAGTAATGGCATCACTGGAGGGAAGGGGATGAGAGGCCAAGATGAAGTCCTTTGGCCACCTCATAATGAGACAGGAAAGCTAGAGAAGACAATGATGCTGGGGAAAATGGAAGGAAAAAGGAAGAGGGGCCAACCAAGGGCAAGATGGATAGATGGGATCCTTGAAGTGACTGGCTTGACCTTGAAGGAGCTGGGGATGGTGATGTCCAACAGGGAGCTCTGGCCTGAGCTGGTCCATGAGGTCACCTAGAGAAGACAATGATGCTGGGGAAAATGGAAGGACAAGGAAGAGGGGCCGACCAAGGGCAAGATGGATGGATGGGATCCTCGAAGTGACTGGATTGACCTTGAAGGAGCTGGGGGTGGTGACGGCCGACAATAAACTCTTGCCTGGGCTGGTCCATGAGATCACAAAGAGTTGGAAGCGACTGAAAAAACAAACAACAACATGTGGCAGAACATGAAGCGGCAATGGCTGTGAAAACTATGAGAAGGCAGCCAACCAAATCAACAGCTCTTGTGAGCTTTCTTTCCTGGAGGATGGACTGGTTGGATCTTCTCACGGTCTAAGGCACTCTCAGAACTTTCCTCCAGCACCACAGCTCAAAAGCATCGATCTTCCTTCACTCAGCCTTCCCGAAGGTCCAGCTCTCACATCCGTAGGTGACTACAGGGAAGACCATGGCTTTGACTAGGCAATGGATCTTGGTTGCCAGTCTGATGTCTCTACACTTCACTATCTTACCCAGATTATTATTTCCATCTTCTCTGAACTTTCCTTCTTGTCCTGTTGCCCTTTCCAGCTTCCAGAACGGATGTCTTTCACTCCTCTTGAATGTTTCCTCATCTTGCTTCCCGTTCCTTCTCTCTTTCCTCCCTTGTTTCCTTTCTCAGTGTTCTCTGAACTTTCTTCTTGACTTCTGCTGATCTTTCCAGCTTCCAAAGGGGCATCTTTTCTCCAACCTGAGTGTTCCCTCACATTGATTCCCCTCCTTTCCTTCCTTCCTTCCTGCTTTCTATCTCACTCCTTCTTTCGCTCTTTAGAGGCTTAGCCTTCCCCAAGTTCTATCCCCAGCTGAGCCAAGGGCTTGGCCAGTGGGCACTGCTGCCAAGGGGAGGGAGGCAGAGACAGGAATGAGGAAGGCCGTAAAAGGAAGGAGGAAGAGGGAAAGCGAGAGAAGGAGGGCCCAGGGCAGGAAACGGCATTGCAGAGAGAATACGCACTTGGGGAAGAGCAGGGATGGGACAGGCAAATACTAGGGCTGGGCAACCACGGAAAAATTTGTTTCTAAACTCGATTTGTTTTTAGGGGGTTTTTGCGTTTCAATTTTTAAATTAATTCCGAAATTTTCCTTAATTTTTCTTCGATATTTACGAAATTTAGTAAATTACGAATCAATTACGAATCGATTTCGAGACAATTACGAATCGTTTTGTTAATGGCGGGCGC